CCCCGCCGCCGCCGCGCTGCCCCCCGGGCACGGCGGCGGCGGCAGCAAGCTTGGGCCCAAACGCCGTGCCGCCGAGTCCCTTGGCTGCGACCGTAGACCGTGGGCCGGAAACTGCGGCCGCAGCTCGGCGGCACGTGGTTCTGTTCAAATCGCCAAGCGTGCAGCAGCGCCGAACCACGCTTCCCGGCCTCGGCGCATGCCTTCAGGGGACCCCTATCGCTGGGCACACCCCTCCAACACCGAACATGCGCCCGGGGGGGAGGGCGGCCCGGGCTGCCCAGGCCAAAGTGGGCCGCCCTCGAGCAAGAGGCGGCCGGTCTGTGTGCTGAATGAATGAATGAATTCACTCGAGCATGGCATGCATTCAACATCCCTATCGCAAGGTTTGCCCACCACCGCCTTGCCACATTTATCCATCCCGTTGCAGATATTAGAGGTGCAGTCACGGTCGGCAAAGCAGTCGACGCCATTCCCCACGGCACCGCACCGGTTGATGCATCAACCCATATGGCGTGGTTGCAGATGCCGCTCTTGCATATACATTCATTAATACAGCGCCCACCGTCTGGCTGATTTGGAGACCTGCACTGCAGCGGGGCAGGGGCCAGCAGGAGCACGGCACAGTCGGCGCCAGTCGGGGGGCTGCCACGCGTGCACGAAGCACCTCAGTTGGAGGCTCCTTACTGTTGTTCGTCTGCACCTCTTCCTTCTCTTTCAATTTTGGCCTGGAGCCTCACCTCACCACCGTAGCCGATGGCATCGCACCATAGCCCCGCCGCGCATTGTGAGTCCTCATCACAATACAGGCACAATATGCTCCGGCTGAGTATAGACCACAGATGCTTGAAATGATAATGATCACCTTCACGAATGTTGATGCCATTGCAGCTGCAACCAGGTATGGGCAGCTGGGCCTCTGGTCATTCATTAGCGCATGATGGCCAATGCAGAGCTGCTCACACTGGCTCAGCAGGCTGCCAACTCACACTCCGCTCGCGCAATCGGGCCCAGTTCTGCACTCGGCGCCGTCTGGCAACAGAGGCGTAGGACGCCCAAGGGACCCACGACTGCAGGGGTAGGAGCAGGAGCAGCGTGATGACCAGCGCCACCCGGCAGCGCCCCGGCAGCTCTTGATCTACCAGACTTTTAAGCCCACACAAGCACAAGCGGTGGCGACATCTGCTATGCCGGGAGGCAGTGTGCGCATGCGCACCGGGGTGGGTACGGGCGTGGGCGGCGACGCCTCTTGCCCAAGCAGAGCGTTACGCCTTCAACCATCTGCATTTCAAGAGAGGGGAGGCGCAAGGGCACAATCGAAACACGCGAAGGGAGTGCCCTGCATACTGCGCCTACAGAGGCGCTCAGCAGCGGGACGGGACTGGGGCATGCCGCCTGCGCAGGTGGCGCCGCCAGGAGCCCGCGGTCCCTACCCAGCGAGGCCCTCGCCACCCCCACCGCGCTGTTCACCGCTCACCGGCATGCTTGCAGCGGCCCACGCCAGCGCCAGGAGAGCCGCGAACAAGAAGGTCCTGCTGGGGGCAGCGCCCCGGGGGGCTGGCGGACGCTACATGGCTGCTGGGGTGCAGCAAGGTGAATGGTAATGGCGCTGCTCGTGAACACGATGACCAAATAGCCAAGGTGGTACTAAACACGTGGATGGGGGAGCGGGGGGTTCAGATGGCACTGTTGCCGCGCCCTCAGCCGCATGGCTTCCTCCAATCGTGCTTCGTCTGCTGATGTGGGATTTGAGTGACGGAGAGCAGCAGGATCACATGCACTGGGCCGTGGGCGGCGCCGTGAGCGGCAGCGCTGCCGCCAGGCACGCCCCTGCCTGGCAGCAGCAACCCCCGTGGGCAGCAGCCCGGACCGCGCCAAGCAGCCCACCATTAAGATCTCATTCTGGTCAGTTACAACCTTGTTGCAAGCGCTCTGCAACCCTCCTACTCCCAGAGGCTTCCGACAGAATGACGCTCCCAGCGGCAAAGGCCTGTGCAGGCGTTAGGTGCACTCTGGGTGATCCGTGTCCTGGCTCTCGGCCGCCGGGCAGCCCTCGGCTGTGGAGCCAGGATACCTGTCGACGCCGTCCGCATGAGGTCCCCTGCCAGCCGTGCCTGCTACAGCCGCTGGTGCTCCGCCCGCCGCTGGCTCTGGTCTACCGCCTGCCACCGCCCCTACGACTGCGCTGCCTGCTGCTGTAGAAGCCGCCGCCGCTGCTGCGGCAGCGGCAGCTGTGGCAGCAGCAGATGAGGCCTGCATCGAGCCGCGTGCCAGCAGGCTCTTCCGCGACAGCCTTCCCTGCCGGTACTGCAGCATGCTGAGCCGCTGCGCACGCTGCGCCACGCTGGCGGCAGCCGGCTCTGCTGGCTCCTGCGCCGCCGCCGCCTGCACCCGCCCCTGCTCCTGGCGGGGCTGCTCCTCTGTGCCAGGCACGCCTGCCACCTCCTCCTGCTGCTGCTGCCGCTCCTGCTGCTGTTCCTCCTCCTGCCGCTGCTGCCGCTTCTGCTGCTCCTGCTGCTGCTGCTGCCCCTCCTCCTGCTGCTGCTGCTGCTCCTGCGACAGGCTCAGCCCCGCCGCCTCCAGCTTGCGACGCATGTAGGAGGGGCGGCGCGCGGGCGCCAGCGCCCACCACTCATAGTACGGCACATCCACCGCCCGCCAGCCCAGGCGCTGCATGGGGGCCGCAATGCAGAAGAGCGTCTGTGTGCGCGCGTGTGTGTGTGTGCAGCATTGCGGAAGGAGAGAGGCAGCAGGACAGGCAAGGCAGGAGAGTTGAGAGGCAGCAGGTGGAGCAGGGCAGAACAGGCGGCCAAGCAGCCTGCGCACGCACACCTAGCGCCTGCCTCCCTCGCGGGTGGCACGCATGCCGAGCCAGCGCTCAGCTACACACACTCGCGCACACACACGCTCTCTCACGCACACACACTCCCAACCGCCGCCACGCCGCCCAGCCTCACCTCCAGCAGGCGCCGCTTGAGCGCTGTGCCGCCCATGAGGTGGCGGCTGTTGGCGGCAAAGTGCACCGGACCATCCACCTCCACTGCAGCCAGGCAGGCAGGCAGCCGGGCAGGCGGGCACAGCCCCGGGGTTCAGCAAGGTACGGTTGGGGCCAGCCACGCAGGGCGGGGCCCGCCAGGGGCCGCCCAAGCGCCGCAGCAGGGGCAGCGCTGCAGCGGCAGGCCTGGCTGGCTGCCCAGCGCCGGCTGGGCAACCCGCCCAAGGCCTGGCCTCGCAGGGCCAAGCCCGAGTGCGAGGGCCCGCTAGCCCAGCTGCTGGCGCATGCTGCTTTCATCGGGGCAGCCGCATCAGCGTGCACAATCAGGCACATCAGCGCGCGCAGGTGCGGGGGCTGGGTGGGGGGCGCAGCCGCACGTGCCCCCGCCCTCCGCTGCCCTGCCGCTGCCTGCTCCCGCCTGGCCCACCCGCGATCTTGTGCTCTGGCAGGGCGACATCGATGGAGTACTCTCCAGCCTCACTGTGCTCCAGCACGCAAGGCACCCCCAGCCCGCACACCGTGCGATGCACCTGAGGGCAGGGCGGGCGCGGGGGGCGGGCAGTGGGGCGGGGCATGGGCAGGGTGCGGGCATGGTGGGTGGCGCGGCACGCATGGCGCCTGCTGCTGCTGCGGCGGCAAGCAGGGTGTGCTGCCTGCGCAAGCTGCGGCAGCCGCAGACGGCGTGCCTCCTCCCCTCTTCCCTCCCTCCGCTCCCCCACCTGCCAATGCACCCTCCTGCCACACACCCAGGATCACACCCCGGGCACCACACCACCTGGCACGACACCCACCCACACAGCCACAGCCACACACACACACACAGCCACACACAAACACAGCAGCCCCCCCACCCCCCCCAAAAAAAAAGGCT